TTATAACGTAGATGTAGTGCCATCTTGGCGGTGTTTTACATCTGATTGAGCTACACTCTGGTGGAAAGGTAACAGTGTTTCTTCTTACACAGACACATTTCCCCACATCATCCACCAGGTGGCCTTGTTAGCAGTCATTCTGAACGTGAAATTCTGACTAGTGGGCTTGTAATTATTGTTGCTTTGGGGCTCGATTCGTTTTATTTGGGAGAAGAGAGGGATGCTGTTTTTGTTTCTTCGAGGCAAAGTTTTTGTTGTGGTTTGGGCTAACCATAACCCTCTTATGTAGCAGAGGATGACCTTGAACTCCTGATCCTGCCGCTTCTATCTGTTCCACTTGCCAGTGTTAGGGTTACCGGGAGGGAAGAAGTCACCATGCCTGGCCTGTCTAGTGTTACTGCATTCAAACTTTAAATCCAGATAAGCCACAGACATGGAGAGGTAACGAAGAAACATGAGGAGTCACAACATTAGAGGGCACTTTTGTAATTTTAGAAGTCTGTTCTTGGAGGCTGGCTTAGGGAGGCTTTCTCTAAATAGGAGTGCATTTCCAGTTGCTCATTTAAAGCGGCAAATTCCTCACATGTGCTATGAAATCAGGACTATTGGGAGGAAGGAAGGGGCCAGGAGGATGGGAGAAGAGAAGGGGGAGGCCTGGAATGATCACAAGAACTAATGATACCTAGGAGTCAAAACATGGAAACGAGGTCTATTATTCTGTAGTTCTGTAGGCTAATTTAAAAGTCTTTGAAGTAGCTAATTCTTAGAACGAATACTTTAGAGAGACACATGAGTTAAAGAAACTATAAAACTTTAAGACCCCCATTTAAACAATCTCTGAATAAATCTATTTTGATCAGTGAGTATAAAGATGAATGGAAAAAAATCTACATATTGTGCTTGCAAAGTAATGCTTAATTACTCTTGCTGCTTTCTCAAAACACACTTTGTTAAAAATAAACCTTCAGTATAATCTGTTAAAATGTTGAATGGTCATCCTGACAACCTAGTTCAATCACTAGAACAGAACTGGTTCAAAGAGAAAACCTACTCCCCAAATTATCTTCTTACCTTTGCCATTTGAGTATACACAGTGGCACATGTATATACTCTCCCACACAAAATAAAAATATGTTTCAAATGTTGCACTATAGTGTGATATAATAAATTCCTGTGTTTTGAGGTTATGCAAATTTTAAACACTTTTCTGAAAAAAAAAAACTGCCTTGTTCATCATAATTGGCACGACAGTTATGATGGTTGTGAGAAACAAAAGTGTATCTGATTGGATTTTACTTGAAGAAATATGATGTTTTGATAAATAAAACAAAAGCCGAGTCTAGCTGCAAGTTGGATAAAGGACACCAACTTACATACAGAAGAAACGATGTAAAGGTGTTCATGGTACAGCAAAGAGTCTGTGAGGTAAAATAATTCAACACATGTATCCTAAGATCTAGAAGAGTCCACTTTTTAAATTTTAAAACATCAAGTCTATTCTCTCTTAGCTGGAGTCTATAATAGTCAAGTTAATAATTAGTTTTGCATAGTTTTGTGAGTGCCTAAAGAAGGTGTGAGAGCCTGGGTCAGAGAGACTACATCCCTCAGCTACAGTGCCATTTTCTTCAGGTGGCTTCCTGATCCCTAATCCCCACAAGATAATTAAAAGAGGAAGACAAGTTTAGGGAATCCTCATCTTTGACAATGTGCAGTGATAAGTCTCACTTTTGTATACCAAGGCTTTATCTTCCAAGAATGTTCAGCTGACAAGCGAGCATCTCTTAACCAAAAATAAAAACTCTGAAATGCTCCAAAAGTATAGGATTTTTGAGGCCCAGCATGATTTCACACATCAGAAATTCCACAAAATGAACTTTACTTCAGGTGCAAAATTACCAATTTATCATATAAATTCACCTTTGGGCTATTCCTGAGAGTCACAGTGTTACCAGTTTTCTCCACCTGGGGCTATCCCAAATACTCCAAGGCATTGGTTGGCCTGGTGGGGTTGAGTCACCAAGTGGAACGGTAAAGTTGACAGACAGCTTTATGGACAGACAAGGAGCCTACTGAAGTGTGCTGCCCCAGAGTGGCCAAATTCCAATCATTCTGAAGAAACTTAACTGTCTGGCATCTCCTCTCAGGACGTAAAGTCTGGGAACAATACTACCCCAAGAGGCATGACCAAATATGTTTCATTTGGTTAAAATAGCAAGTCTTCCTAAGCACGTTTTACTGCACGCTGAGCAAACATCAAATGCTATACGGATCTTTCACTCCACTCACCTCAGGCAGCAGTGAGGAAGACGAGGCACCTATCGAGCTCAGCCCACCATGTCCTTGTTTGGTGGGGTGAAGTTGTTTGGTTGGAACCTCTAGTTGACTTACACATGGTCTGAGAAGCTTCATTTCTCTCTCCCTCCCTTCCTCCCTCTCTCTCTCTCTCTCTCTCTCTCTCTCTCTCTCCTTCTCTCTCTCTCCCTCCCTCTCTCTCCAAACCCGCCCTCTCAGAGAGTAGTCTTCAACAAAGAAAAGGCACCAAAAATCCCAGCTCTATTCTTGGCAGCTGGAATCGTCCCTCTCCTGAAGTTGCCCGCAGCCAAAGCTCCCTGCCTCCACCCCTCAGAGTGCAGTTTTTGACCATTCTTGGACACAAACCCAGCCTGAGGTGTACATGTCATCACCTCTCATCTATAGGCCATAGAAGCTCCTTGCCTTAGTATTGGTATGAGACTTTCTCCTCCCTCAATCTTTGGGACTGGAGAACTCACCCAGGAGTTGTTTTGCTTAAACAAACTTGTTCTTTTACTTTTCAATTCAGCTTGATCTGGCTAACTGCATCAGCAGAGAAACCTATCATTGATACAAACAAACAAGCAAAACAAAATAAAACAAAACAAAAACCTCACCAATTACAAGTTACTTGAGTCTTAACCTCGGTTCGCTCAGATAACTCTTGTAGACTTCTATTAGAATCTCACATGAGCTTACTCTTAGACATCACTGTCCTTTCTAGTTCTCATTGACAGGCACCCAATTATTTGAGAGAAAGACCTTTTAATGACCTCCCAGACAGCCTGCTGATTGTCTAAGGGCAAGCTGGTCCAGGTGCTGAGTTTAAAGCCCACTAACTGGCTCCCCAGGGGTTATCTAGCACAGTCCTCTAAGAAAACTGACTTTCAGAATGTTCATTTGAATTGCCTAAAATCAAACATCTAGTAAAAGGCAAAAACTAAATGCTAGCCTTCTCAGTTATCTGTCAAATTTTCTTTCAATTTCAGTGCAACTAAGTAGGGATGGAAGATGAAAACCCACAGGTTTCTTGAGAGATACTGCAAAGTTTAGGTGCTGCAGCTGATTCTACTTGCAATTGGATGCCCTCTCTAGCAATGCAACTGAGGTTCCTTTTGCATGATAAGAGCACCTACTTCATACTGTATAAAGATTCTGACCAATGTCGTAACCCGGTGTAGCTATAACTTTCATAATGTTTGCTAAATATAGTAAGGCGGTCAGCAAAATGAGATTTGCAAACAGTAACTCCATCACTGCAGATATTTTGAGTGGGGAAAATACATACAAAAGAAGACAAAATTTAGAAATTTAAATGAACTTTTGAGCACAATGATTGTGAAGAGCTACTCATACCACCATTAAAAAGTTTATTGCTTTCAAAAAACACTTTTAGATATCTAAAACTTAAATTTTTTTGTGTGTGTACAAGTGAATTCCACATACATGTGGGTATTCTAGAAGACTAGAAAAGGCAATTGCTTTGGATTGGATTCCCTGGGACTGGAGTTACAGGCTATTATGAGTTGCCTTATGTGGTGCTGGGAACAAAACTTGGCTTTTCTAGAAGAGCGGTAAGCACTATTAACCATTGAACCATCTCTCTTTTTGATGATACCCTCCCCCAAAAAACAAAATTAAAGTCAAACTATGTTTTAAAGCTGAGACCAAATAGTCAGGTTTATAATAATAGCTTTTTTTAAAAAAAAATAATCCACTCAAATTCAAATTATTACAGAAATTAGTATTTAACTTTCTCACTATGGAAAGTACAAAAGTGTAAAACCATTGTATTTTTCTAATACTTGAATTCCTGGGAAATAATTCTTTACAAAATTTTATAAGATAAAAAGTAGAACAGTTCGTCAGAGAAATAAAACCTCACTTAACATGTCAACCTGGTGCCTATCTAGGCCATCCTACAGAAAACAGAGTCATGAGGAAGACAGTGTACTGGGACCTGTGGCTTGTTCTACGGCTGGGATCTGAGGTCTAATTTCTGTTATGCAAATTTGTATGCAAATGTACTTTTGTTAATTGTAACAATTAGACATCAACATAATAACTCACTTTATAACTTTGAACAAATTGTTTTACAAATGATGGAGTTAAGCATTTCAATCCTTAAAAAACTAATTTATGAAACTCTAGTATTATAAGTAATATATTATACAAAGTTCTGAGTCAACATTTGAGCAAGGATTTTTAAAAAAATGTGTAAAGTATTTCCACCTTCCTCTGGGTCTCTATGATTTAGGCTGGAAGTTGAAACATGTTAGTGACTATGACTGGCCAACCTTGGGTGTACATTTTGTACAATTTGATGCTTGGTGGTCCTACACGTTTCCAGACACTGACAGGATTTCCTTAGTAAGGATAATATTGGCTTCTGTCATAGTGAAGTTCTAATTTGCTTTCTTAGGATCCAGGGAGTTAATGAATCAAAAGTCCTTTCATTTCCAAATATTTTTTTAATGTCTGAGATTCTGGTGAACCTATTCTCAATATCATGAAATAGTTCGAAGGAAAAAAAATGAAACATGGGAGAATCGTGTCAAAATGGTGTGTACATATCAAAGACGCGTGCTATGTCAGCGATTCTGTCTAAATCCCTTCGGGAAGTTCTCCCCCCCCCCGCCCACACACACACATACCCGACCCAGTGTCTGCCTGCAGAACTAACCAGAGCCCTTGTCTCTTGTGCCCAGGATGGTGCTGTTCCCCTGCTGTCTGCTGTGGCTCCTGTTACCGCTCACCTCGAGGACACAAAAGCTGCCCACCCGAGATGAGGAGCTTTTTCAGATGCAGATCCGGGATAAGGCATTTTTCCATGATTCATCTGTGATTCCAGATGGAGCTGAAATCAGCAGTTACCTCTTTAAAGATACACCTAGAAGGTATCGATTGCCCTTACAGTGCTTGTAGATCAATGTCCATTAAAAAAAAAGCTCCATAGAAGAAGGCAGTGACCTTCCAGATGGGGTTTTGAAAGTCAACCTGTGAACAGTACTATGTATGATTATGTGGGATTAAAATGAAATTACTTAAACATATATGGTTATTCAAGCGTTTCTATTTGAGGAAGGATACTACTAAGAGATAGAATGAAGTGCCGAGAGAATCAAATAGTAGAAAACAGATAGTAATCATTTCTTTCACTCCAGTTTAAACAACTGGGCTTCCATAGTGTTTCCAGATATGCCCATCTTTGAAAGTTAAACCCACATATCATATAAATTATATACCACAACTATTATGTTGGAAGTTATCAAACTGCCATGCTTTAAATCTCCTGCCATTCACTGTTAAGCTTTTGAAGTTTTACAAAAACAGTTTGCCCTTTTAGCTTGCGATGAGTTGGTGTTCCAAGACATAGAGTTGTTCCATACCTCTAACCCACTTTGCAAACGCTAAGTTGTAAAGGATCTTCACATAATGTTTTCAATCATAGAGGGAGAATGGTACTCCAAACCCCTTCTATTAAAAGGCCCCATCATTTCACCCTCTGGTCAGTTGAAATGAGCACAGATGATCAGTTTTTTGAGGTGAAGTAGGCATTGTTTCGAATTACTGGAGTAAACTAACTTGTTTGAAGGAATGCAATAGATTGAGAACTGCCTCAAAGTGTAAATAATTATAAGCTGTTGAGTAGTATTCGTGAGACTGAAAACATAAGAGGAAATGCATAATACATGGAGGAATGTGCTGCCATGGTCCACACCAAGGCTCAGTCTGTGAGGATAGGAAAAGATACACAAAGCCATGCATGACTTCAGAGGGACCCTTAACAATGGAATTGTCATTGAGCAAAATTCACATTTTTTTGTCCTTGAAATATTTTAGCTAATGAGGCTAAAGCAAAAATTTTTCTACAGGTATAATTTCCAATTCCCAAATATACTTGGGTTCTGTTCTCTTTTAGTATGCTTTAAATACAGCTTCCAATTATATAGTCATGTCATTTAAACAAGTAAATGGCTTGTCCTTTGATCTTCTGAAAATTTAATAAGTCATAATTCTAAGGGTGGTATTAAAATGACATTTTTCTTAAAACACGTTTTTATTACATGACATTACATGACTGTCAGGACATCTTTCTTCTGCTCTTCTTTCTCTCATTTATTAATTTCTTATTTTTGTATTCACTTCAAACCCAAATTTTGATGGCCATTTGTATTTACAGCTGAGTGAAATGTTTGTTGTAGCTCCAAGAAGAAATGTAATTTTAGAGTTTGGAATAAACCGTGTCAAGTACACACCACCATTGCTGATATTCTACCTGGAATTAAATGTCTCATAAGATTTGTCTGTAGGAGTAGGAAAGACATTAAATGTATAAGTTGTTCTCATGTTTACATATAAATTGCAAAGGTGGTGGTTTGTAGTGTGCATCCTCACCCATGCTTTCTTGGCCATTTCATCTCCTCCAGCCTCACTTGGCAGTGCAAATCCAAACATACAGATCATGCTCCATCTGTCACTTCCTATCAACCCTCTGTTCTACAAGTGCTCCAGGAGTCCTTAACAACAAATGCATGCTATATTGTTCAGTGAGTTCCCATTCTCACCACTAACTTGCAAGCTTTCAGATGAAAGTGTCACCTTGAGGTGTCCTGTTACTGTCCATTCCCAATGGCCACCTTGAGGGATGCAGGCAACCCTTTGTTTGTTAATAGTTGGCCATGGTCTGTCATCAAGTTGCTGACACACAGTTGCTTACATAAGAGAATATAGACTGGTTATGGCATTGCTATCTTGTGCTGCTCAAATAAAAATCCAAGAAAGAAGCTGCAAAATCCAGACACCATTTGATGTTTTGTCTCTTTCTTTGTGATATGGTAGGCTCAGATTAGTGTCATCCCTGCTAAAAGATCAAACACTAAAAATAGCAAAAACCAAACTTGTTTTCAGAAAGTAGGCAGAATTAAATGTCAAATGTGCTGACACACATCATAGCCATGGTACATCAGAGTTTACACTGTAAACAGTTGAATCGTCTCATTGTCATTTTAGATGGCTGTCTAGTATTATCTTTAAGGCGTTGCATTTGCTTAATACACTTCTCAGTCCGTCCTGTCCACCCCATATCACTTGCCATTTCCCAATTCATCTTTGAATAGTATGGAGAAGAACTTCTATTTATATTCAGATTCTATGTATTTAAATAGAAACAGATTCTAGATGTAACATCCTCAGGCTAGACTAATGAGATTGCTGTCTTTAAGTTCTGCTCATTGGCTTAGCAGTTCTTTCATCCAACAAGTGCTTGCTCTATGCAGAAATTTGTACTAGCATGTTAAGCATAGGGCATATGGTGACATGGAAGATGGGCCCTAAGTTGGCCTGGTGGAATATGAAGTCAAGAAATCACACAAATACATGTAGTCACAAATTCCTGTTAGTGTGAGGTGTGGGCAGCACAGGCCCTGAGAAACTATATGCAAGCCTCTTTTAGAATGAGTGAGAAACGACATTTCCGAAGAAACAGGATTTAAACATGAGTAAGGCAGAGAGGTGGGGCTGTCAATAACTCATTTCAAAGACCCAGGAATAGGAAGCATTTGGAAGACTATGTAAGTTCAGTGTGGTTATAATGCAAAACGCCAAAGAGATGGAGACAGAAACAGAGCTTGGTAAGGACACTTGCCCATGAGATTAGTTAAACACTTAACTCAGTGCTAAAATATAAAGCTGTGAAGGGGCTCAAAGCTGGGGGAAAATGTGTATTTTATATAATAAAATGCAAGGTATGTACAGGGCCATGAGGATGATCCTGTGGCTCCTTCTGAAAGGGGTACCTTAGCTTAAGTATAAAGGCTGACAACTGCTCTTGAGTGAAGGATGCTTGTGAGTTATGGTACTTGGGAAGTAGCCTGCGAGAAAAAGAGATTCTACAAACTTCATTTACAGCTTTTGATAAAATCTGGAAAAGGTTTGTTTTCATTCTGGTGGCCCAGTGTCTAGTAGTTCTAGAAATGCTGAACAAGATGTTTTATAGAGATTACTCCTGTTTCAATGAAAAAAAAAATTTGGAAATAGTGAAGTGATTTAGAAGTGGACATCACAATTATTTAATTCATTCAACAAATATTTTGAATTATTTCAGTATCTGAATGCATACCAGTGAAACAAATGGCTGTATTCTTGTGGCTGTCAGACTAGTTGAGGGAGACAGAAAATTTAAAAGGAATAAGTGAAACATGCAATATGTTAGGTGCCAATAAATAACAATAAAATGAAAGAGACATTCATTAGCAAGGACATATTTTACATATGGAATCCAAATGGATCCCTAATAGTGTTGGAGTAGAGAGCTGAAGGAGCAGCTAAATCCTCCCAGGCCCTTGTCTAGGCGAGTGCTCTGTGTAGTGCTCTGTGTAGTTTTCTATCTAGATGAGTGCTCTGTCTAGGGGAGTGCTCTGTCTAGAGCAGTTTTCTATCTAGATGAGTGCTCTGTCTAGGGGAGTGCTCTGTCTAGAGGAGTACTCTGTCTAGGGGAGTGCTCCCTTCCCTGGAATAGCAGGCTTGCAGAGGCCCCAGCAGGAGCTGGCATACATGCACCACAGAGCTCTAAGTGAAGCAATGGAGAGTAGATTCAGCTGGGGTTGAGCACTAAGGGACAGAGATGTGTGGGATACTGCAGCTCTTACTCTGAAGTGCATAGATCTCAGAGGGTTTTGAGCAGGGGTTGGGTGTCCATTGTTTAAGGTTTGCAAAACCAAAGGGCTCCAGTGTGAAAACAGGGAGTCTAGTCAGGAGGCCACAGCAAGGCTCAGGCGAGAGGGAATGAAGACTTGGATAAACCAGGACAAACCAGTAGCATCTGCATGTATTTCAAAGGCAAAGTAAGAAAATTCTGATGCAGTGTATGTGAAGTAGGAAAAAAAAAAAAAAAAAAAAAAAAAAAAGGTCAAGGGCAGCTACAAAATGTTCAGAATGACCGGAAGTTTGGAATTGTCATCTACTAAAAACGATGGGCTGCAGGAATTTGGGATTAGATATCTCAAGTTTGAAATGCCAAGTTTAAAGATGGAAAGAGTTCAGGCTGAGGATTTAAACCTGAGAGTTATTAACTCACAAGAGGTACAGCCAGGAATCCGGGTGAGCTGATATCGGAGCATAAAGAGATAGGAAAGGGACATCCCAGGTTTACTAGAGGGATTAGATGCTTGGGAGGTGAGCACAGTCAGCAGGGTGGGGTACTGTGGTCAGTGTGGCATGTGTTGGTGGGGTATGTGTGAAGAATGGTGTGAGGGATGCTGAGCTGATGATACAGCATACAGAAAGTGAAGCCCACCACCTCCTTTGCTGTAGATACAGTGGACACCTCTGAGCTAGCCAGCACTGACACCAGTTTTCCTCATTTGCAGCCTTTGAAAGCTAGTTAAGCAGAAATGTGAAGGCAATTTGGAGTTAGAATATGCTTCATTTTTATAGGTTAATGACATTTTTATTCTTCATAAAGTGTCTCCTGAGGTATCATAAATAAAGTTGATGAGGTAAAAGACAGAGCAAGCTCTTTCGATTTTTTTTTAAATTCCGTTTTAATAGTGTTAATGTACTTAATTCACCAGGATGTTTTACTAATAAGTAAATAATAAACACACACACTTTGTTATCTTGCCAGAGACCAAGGGTACATTTTAGAACAATGATGTTGGAAACTTTTGACACAGTGGGCGACATGTCAGAGTACCATTAAGATAAGGAACACTTGCCAAAGCTCAGTGCTGTAGAGCACACAGGGAATGCTTAGTGCTTGACTTATTTTATGGTGGGAATGCCTACTGACGGACAAGCGTTCATCTTCAACTCAGAAACACTTGGTTGGATATCTTTTTATTACCTCCCTTGTATTTGTTGGTGCTCAGTTTGGTTGGACTTTGAACAATTCGACTTTCATAGTTTTATATTTTCTCTGAAATGTGTTAAACGACTAAAAAATGAAAACCGAGTGGCTTTTCGGGTCAGTCTCAATGGTCATTATTAGATTCATCATGGTGTCTTAACTTCCACCTAGGTACTTCTTCATGGTTGAGGAAGACAACACCCCATTGTCTGTCACGGTGACGCCCTGTGATGCCCCTTTGGAGTGGAAGCTCAGCCTCCAGGAGCTGCCTGAGGAGGCGAGTGCAGATGGATCAGGTAAGGGTTAGGGTCCACATAGCCCCAGAGCTCTGAAAAGAAGGAAGGGACTCAGCCCTGTTGGACATGTGAAGCTGGAATCTGAAATGGGAAAAATGGCATGACACGGCATTGATCTTGGTTAAAGTATAAGAGGCGAAGGGGAGTGCTGAGTAAGCGGTTTGGATGGCCTCTGTGTCTGCTATCTGCAAGCCTGTCTGCAGCATCTGAAACCCCAGGTGCCTTGAATTCAGCCTCAGACCTTCTGGCTTAATTGTTGTGGGGTATAAAAAGCTCTCCATAGGTGGCTTTGAGGCTCAGGCAAGGTTAAGAATGTCTCATTTCTGGGGTCTAAAGGTGCATGCAAAGAAGTAAAGAGGCATTTAACAATGTTTAAAGGCAGGAGGACAAGCAAGTCCATAGGGGAAAAGGGTTAGTCATCTAAGAAGGTGGGAAGCAAGTAGCAGATAATGGGTGAAAAACCGGTAGCTCCTTCTAAGGGCATATTAGCTTAAAGATAAGGGCCTGCCAGCTGCTCCTATGGGAGGGATGTTTGTGAGTTACAGTACTTCAGCAGTTACAGAAGAGCCCAAAGGGAAGTAATAAGACATAGTACAGGATCTCTGACATTAATGGATTAAATAGTTCTGTTCTTCCCACAATCATTGAATAAGTCAGTCTACACACTTTTGATTTGTGTTAATAAGCTGGAAAACAGTTCACTCTGATCACCCAGTGTTCCTCCGGGTTCCAGGTATTTTTGCTTATATCTGCATGGTATTGATGTTCATGGTAGCCAAGTATACTTTTTGAATGGAAAAAAAAAATCCCTTCAGTTTTAAGCCTTCCTCTGTACTACTCCTGGGAACCAATTCTGAACACGGGTCCTGAAGCAGCTTTATGGTGTTTAATGAGGTTTCCCAGTCCCACTAACAGTCATGAAAGTAGAACAATGGCTGACCATCTGCAAGCAACATGTGCTATGAGCAAGTTTTCCCACCGGCCTGGTCCCAGAGCCACGCCAGCCCCAAATCACACACAGAGATGCTGTATTAGATATAATGCTGTTGGTCTGTTACTAGCATTACTTATTGGCTAGCTCTGTCTTAAATATTGACCCATTTCTATTAATCTAAGTATTTCCACGTGGTCTTATCTTCCTGGAGAGAGGTCCAGAGTTGTTCTCTCTCAGTCCTACATTTTGAATCCCCTCCTACCTCTTCCTGGAACCTCCTTGTCTCCTAGTCCTGCCTATCTTGCTTTCCTATTGGCCAACAGTGCTTTATTAACCAATAAGAGAAGCATATTTACAGAATGACATCTCCTATCGAACATGTTTGTTTCGTCATTTTGATTCGCATCAGATCAATAATGTTTAAAAATTTTAGTCTTTGACCTAACTTTTCCCCCAACTGGATCTTGTCCCAAAGAAGTAAATTTCAAATAAGAAAAGTCTTGCTCACATGTGGGCATCATTTACGATAGTAAAAGATAAACCAATAGTATTATTTTATGACATAAGCAAGAACAGCCTTCAAAAACTGGAGTCTTATCTAGTTTCATATGTGTATGGGGATATATTTTAATAGATTATGGAGAGAAATCAATGAAAATAACACTCAACTGTTCAAAAAAAAATGTGTGAGAAGAAAGACTCCATGGAAGTACAGGAGTAGGAAAGGGCTCTGTGGTGAGAAATTAGTGACCTTCTTAGGCGCCTCTTGCTTCTGTGGCTGCCATTGTCTGTTAGAGCTATGTCATATCTTTGACATGAAGACAAGATGTTAGAAAACACAATCTAAGGTTGGCAAGCCACAGTAGCACTCAGTGTTTGCTTCTTCCCTGTTCTCCAGGTGACCCAGAACCGCTTGACCAGCAGAAGCAGCAGGTGACAGACGTGAAGGGCACAGAGCTGTTCTCCTACAAAGGCAATGACGTAGAGTATTTTCTGTCTTCAAGTTCACCATCTGGCTTGTATCAGCTGGAGCTTCTTTCGACAGAGAAAGACACACATTTCAAAGTATACGCCACCACCACTCCAGAATCTGATCAGCCATACCCCGAATTACCATATGACCCCAGAGTCGATGTGACCTCTCTCGGACGTACCACCGTCACTTTGGTCTGGAAGCCCAGCCCCACGGCTTCTATGCTGAAACAACCCATCGAGTACTGTGTGGTCATCAACAAGGAGCACAATTTCAAAAGCCTTTGTGCAGTGGAGACAAAGATGAGTGCAGATGATACCTTCATGATGGCACCCAAACCTGGCTTGGACTTCAGCCCTTTTGACTTCGCCCACTTTGGATTTCCAACAGATAATTTGGGTAAAGATCGCAGCTTCCTGGCAAAACCTTCTCCCAAAGTGGGGCGACATGACTACTGGAGGCCCAAGGTTGACATTCAGAAAATCTGCATAGGAAATAAAAACATTTTCACAGTCTCTGACCTGAAGCCGGACACCCAGTACTACTTTGATGTCTTCATGGTCAATACCAACAGCAACCTGAGCACGGCTTATGTGGGTACTTTTGCCAAGACCAAGGAGGAAGCAAAACAGAAGACAGTGGAGCTGAAAGATGGGAGGGTCACGGATGTGTTTGTTAAAAGGAGGGGAACAAAGTTTCTGCGCTTCGCTCCAGTCTCCACCCACCAAAAAGCCAGCTTCTTTATTTACTCTTGCCTGGACGCTGTTCAAGTACAAGTGAAACGAGATGGGAAGCTGCTTCTGTCACAGAACGTGGAAGGCGTTCGGCACTTCCAGCTGAGAGGAAAACCCAAAGCGAAATACCTCATTCGACTGAGAGGCAACAGGAAAGCAACATCTATGTTGAAGATACTGGCCACCACCAAGCCCAATAAGCAGGCTTTCCCCTCTCTTCCAGAAGACACAAGAATCAAAGCCTTCGATAAGCTGCGCACCTGCTCTTCCGTCACAGTGGCTTGGCTAGGCACCCAAGAAAGGAGAAAGTTTTGTATCTACAGAAAGGAGGTGGATGGCAACTACAGTGAAGACCAGAAGAGAAGAGAGCAAAACCGGTGCCTTGGACCAGACACCAGGAAGAAGTCAGAGAAAGTCCTCTGCAAATATTTCCACAGCCCAAACCGGAAAAAAGCAGTGACCTCAGAGACGATCAAAGATCTGCAGCCTGGCAAGTCTTACCTGCTGGATGTTTATGTTGTAGGACATGGGGGACACTCCTTGAAGTATCAGAGTAAAGTTGTGAAAACAAGGAAGGTCTGCTAGTTACCTTGAGTGAAAGATGTATAGAACTCCAGGAGTGATAGGGCGTCACTTTGTAAACTGACTGCTCTGACAAAGGACCAAAGTTGTGACCTGTGCTTGAAAGGAAAGATACCAACAAGTGTACATCGATGTTTGTATAGCATAACCTGGAGACTTGTACTCACACATACCTGTGGTACTTAGGGTCTATCCGTCTGATGCTGGTTGATGTCAAAGGAAGAGGGTACTTTGATGTATACCACTCCTTGCTTTGAGCATTGCATGAACTGCTTCTAAATTATTTTATTACATAAAATTTAAAACCATGCCAGTTGTTGCACACATTCACAAATGCAAATAGTTCCTCTCTATAGATGCTAGGGGAAATATACATATATATATATAAATTATTTAATAAATTCTGTTTCAAATGTTGGTGTTTCTATTGTTATAAGCTATTAAATTCTTTCTGTGTTAAAGTATAGATCTAATCTAAGATCACATTGCCCTCTAGGCAGTAATATTGTTGTTGTAAATTCTTATTTGTTCAGTAAAATGTTTAAATACTATATGTATCTCTTGTAAAAAGTTGATATACATTATATTCATGTACATAAAATTAAGAATATTAGATTATTACACTGTTCATTTTCCCAAACAGTACTGTGGTGTATTCAGTTTCTTATCTGTTCCTAAAACTGTGCTTTTCTGTAACTTGGCACCAAAATTTAGTCTTATTTAGCAGCTAGGAAGGAATATTGCTTGTCTTGATATTTACTGGCACCAAAAGACAGATATTCAAATCTGGATTTGGGCACCAAGTGAAAGCCAGCCTTTGTGGGATCCGAAGAACCATAATAGACCTGTTTGAGAATGGGACAAGCCAAACACTATCGGCCTGATAAGCAATCATTTTAAACATTTATTTTAAGTGACACACTGGAGATGTTATAGGTATTTTCCATTTGCTTAAATGTTTACAAATCTCTTTAGCCACTAGCTGAAGCAACAGGGAACACATTGATTAGGACTTTGGTCAGTCAGAACACAACCAGTGCACCTGCTGCTTACAACACTGCTGCTCTTAATTTTGAGTTTTCGTCTGTCTTTAAAGGGAATTTAAGTGTGCGATACAAGTCTAGCAGATAACATCTGCAGCCTCTACCAGGAACGCGTACGGGCAGTTTTATCCTCTATAGATTTTACTCATAAATCCCAACACAGCATGAGACCACAAGACCAAGATTCAGAAATACATGTAATTTTTAATCCCCTAAAACAATCTGACTTCGTGGGAATCTGTTATTGCATACCATCCCTGTTTCCCAATTACAAAGTTGAGGTGGTAGCAGACGTGGATGCAAGGTCACTATTAGATTCCTTTTGTCAGAAGAAGTTGCCTTTTGTAAAAGTCCAACTCTAAATCCTAAAGTTCTACAGGTACAGCTGTTACTTTCTTTGCTTTCTGCAGCATGCAGCCTTTGCTAGGGAGAGTCCAGCGCCAGCAGCATTGCTACAGCGTATAGGAACACGGTGGCTGAAATGGGGCTATTCATAGTCCCTATGACATGCACTGTGCTTTCTTTAAGGGCAATGACAGTTATGACAGGCCCTCTAACTCCTCAGCAGTAACTTTTCAGTGAAACAAGTTCATCCACACAAGGCACAAATGATACCTGAGATAATCTTTTGAAAGCTAAAGATTATGCACCCAATGCTTTAGTTAGACAACTGTCATACAGGGACAGACTAACAATTAATACCCAGAGAAAATATATTTAGTTATAAACGTGGGAAAAACAGCCTCCTAACTGGGACTATAGTGGACCAGCTTTACTGAAGCTTTGATGATCTGAGCTCTTGGGTAATGCTTAACACCCATGAGCAAGGAGACAAGCTGAGTTGATCTACCCAAGTTAGCTTTTCTGTGATGGTGGAGTCTTTATATTCTGAACAAATACAGAAATCCTATCATGGCCCTAGGAACATTTGCCTTTTAAACTAAGGAAAATGAAACAGATCTTGTGGAACTTCTACTGCTCATAGCAAAGGGGAATCCATGGCAATCATGCCATGGTACTCATGTGTTAATATCTCAATAGCACCCAGGTAGATCAGGGACAAGAAAGAAAGAACAGTTCACATTAACTACATTAACCCTGCTAACGTGAAAACAAAGTCTGGCCAGTGCTAATCTCCAAGTGAACAATAGATACGGAGGTGGAGATGAGCACTGTGGTGTGTAGACAGATGTGAAAAGAGAGGGCTTTGAGCTACTCAGCTCATTATCTTTACCTTCCAGGTGCAATGACAGAGAAAGAACAGAATGCATTAAACCCAAGAGAAATAAAAATTAAAAAGTTTTGTTCCGGTGTGGTGGTGCCATCTTTTAATCCCAGCACCCAGAGGACAGAGGCAGGCAGAGCTCTGTGAGTTTGAGATCAGCCTGGTCTATTTAAGGAGTTCCAGGCCCACCAAGAGCTACAATGTGAGCCACTGTCTAGAAAACAATACAGAATAGAACAAAACAAACAACCCCTCACCCCCACGGTTTTATAATTGAAACAGCTAAGTGATTTACTATATAGACTTCAAAATCCTTTCCAAATAGAAATCACCAGTGTTTGGTTAAAAAAAGAGTCATTTGTGGGTTAGATTTAAAGAGTAGTCTTTTCATACCAACCATTTCTAATTTTTTTAAGAATATGTGATCATTTATAACTGATCACTTCAAGATTGTAAGAAAAAATTGAAGACAAAGTATTTTTTTTTTCTGTTTGGTTTTAGAAGACAAGGTTTCACTGTGTAGCTCTGGCTGTCCTGAAACTCACTCTGTAGACCAGGCTAGCCTCAATCTCACAGAGGTCCATCTGCTTCTGTCTCTCCAGTGCTGGGATTAAAGGCATGCTCCATCCACCCCTGTTCAACTAGAGACAAAGTATTTCTAATGTAGGTCTGTATATAGGAAGCTAAGACTGGAAGTTCAGTAGTCTATTTATTAATGGTAAAACCTGGATTTTGAAGTCTAAAATTATTAAGACTCTATAAAAAAATCTTAACAGATTTTTTGTTAATTTGTAATCATAGTTTAGATTAATTTATTTATGTATGAGTGTCTTGCCTTCATGTATATCTATGCACCAAGTGTGCACCTGGTACCTGTGGGAGCCATAATTAGGTGTTGAATCTCCTAGAACTATAGGTACAGATGGTTGTGAGCCTGGTATTAGGAGCTGAACCTTGGCCCTCTGGAAGAGCATACCAGGCTCTTAACCACTGAGCCATCTATCCAGCCCCTAGATTCATTTTTAAACATGCATTCAAAGTTTAAAACTGAAAAAGACACGCACATCCTTAATTTTTGTTGCCCCAAACACATCTGAAGTAACTGTGTTTTCCTTGTCCTGAATAGTTAATTAAAGTGATGAGAGCTCAGTTAAAACTGATGAATTTTAGAATTTGGGCAGCACTTAATGTTTCTTTCAAAGTTTTAAAAATTATTTTATTTTATGTGTATGGGTGTTCTATGTACATGTGTGTGCCTTCTTTCTGCAGAAGACAGAAGAGGGCATTGAATCTCTTGGAATTGGAGTTACAGATGGTTCTGAACTGACATGAGGATTTTGAGAATTGAACTTGGGTCCTTTGGAAGAGCAACAAGTGCTCTTACCGCAGAGCCATCTCACCAGCCCCATAACGTAATGTTTCGTAATTACTTTCTGTGGGGCGGGGGTGGGTCTACTCGGTGAGATCACACGCACAAACATTTTCACTCCTAATTTCATGGTTAGGTATAGTTTAATCTAGGGTTCCTTCCAGCACTTTACTAACTTCTATAGAAGCACTAGCACTGCCATCCACGTTACCAGAGGAAACTGAGATGAACTCAGGACAACAACCCAGGTTCTTTAACACATCGCCAACATTTCCACAGAACATCTAGCACTGGCGGCCCACTTTACAATGCAGAAACTGAGGTCTCCCCAGGACTGGAACCCAGGCTCTCTCATTGCCAACTTAATGCTTTCTCGGGACTTGGCTTAAACCCTGACTTCACTTTAGGACGTGTACAACAGTTTACCCAATTTACTTCTACAGATCAGCTGTCTTAAGAGTGACACAGAACAACCTGGTGGCTGAGTTGAAAATGCTTTTCTGGAGCTTCGCTCTGGTTGCTTCCTTTCCCACTTTGATAGTGTGTCACAGAGATTAGAGCTACTGGGGACTTATCTTCAGCTGCTCTCCCGAGGACTAAGCCAAGACGACTGCATGCAGATATCAGCTGTCACTGATTTGTAGGTTTCTGGCATTGGGGCACATGAACCATTTGTTTTCACCCAGAGGCCTCTGGCAGACGAATACACAGTAGTGTGATATCTGTCTTTGCTGTTGGTTTGAAAATGGGAAGTACACAAGGGAGGAGCAGACCGAAGAGTAGAATACAGAAAGAAGGGCAGTTTTATCTAATTTCCTACTCTGAGAGGCCCAGGAGATGAAGAGAGTCAAAGTTGTAATACAGCCTGGCTTATTAAGATTTTGCATGCTGTCCTACATGCAACTCACACTGGAGATGCTGACCCAAATCACCATCCTCTGTTAGAATTGGATCCTACTGACAGACACTTTTCATTTCCTAGGAGTGCCCAAACTTGTTATAGACATGATTGGTTTAATTTGTCTTTACACCCTTCTTTCCAACCTCTGAAAACTATTCTTAGTACACAAAATTTGGAATGACCTTACAGATCTACCCTATATTTTCTTTTCACAGATATTTTATAATATTATTCTCACTTGCATAAGGGAGAGGTTTCTGATGCCCGGCACAGAAAACTAATTGGCCCAAGATGGAAGAATGGAGTCTTAGGCATAGTGACGCTGCTTCGTTGTCTCTCTGTAGTTCTCAGTAAAGACAGGAAGGGGCTATCCTTGGTGGGAGAAAGGACCCTGGGTCCTTGTAAAATCCAAGGATGTTAACATTATTCTGCAGTTCCATGTTTTCACAGTTGAAGGGATTACATCAAGAGGCAACTATAGACAAGGATGCTGTTGGAACATTGCCACTACTCACTAAGCTGCCCAGGAGAACTTTTGGGAAAGTGGGTGTTTCTGAAACTTGTTAGGAATGTAGTTTTGAGACTGAGCCAGGGACGGGCAAATAGGGCAACCTACTAGGACAGAGCCTTGCCCCAAAATACCAGGTATGGGAATAGTTTTTGGAGGACATCCGTGTTGATCGAAAGTGACAGGATGCAGATGGTGTGGCTCCGAAAACAAGGCCAAATTGAAAGGGAGATGTCAAATGAGACAGCTGTTTCAGCTTGGCCCAGGCATAAAACTGGACTTATATTTAAGCATCAGTTTCAAACAATAGTCCCAGCCTCTCTCCCTCCCTCTGTCTTTCCCTCCCCTCCCCTCTTTTTCCTCTCTCCTGCCTTTCTCCCCTCTCTTCCTCTTTCTGTGCCTCTTTCTTTCCCCTCTTTCTCACAAATACTGCTTAAGATCAGTGTCCAATCAAGTTAGCCTGATTTAGGAAAAAAGTAAATGTGCAGTTCTTCTCTGTTATTGCTTCTGGATACAGTCTCTCCAACTGTGAAAAAAGGGTAGCACAGGATAACATAAGCAGTTTTTTTTTTTTCATGGTGAACCCTACAAAGCCCTGTGGTGTCTATATTTAATTATTATTCTAGCAGGGTTTTGCTTCTCAGAAAAACTATCTATATCAAGCAGACCAAGCACTTAGCACTTGGAGCACAAGGGGTTGATTATTGGAGGTGTTCCTGAAAGTGTGCT